CAATACGCATTCGTAATGGCGAGCACTTCGGCATGCAACATCTGCACCGGCGAGAAAACGCTTGAGCACATTCTATGCCATTGCCCAGCATACCAGTCTGAACGACGTATTATGGAAGCCAAGCTCCGTCAGCTGGATTCACGACCACTTGCAGAAAAGAAGATTCTGGGACCTTGGCCGACAGTTTCGCAAACGCGCAAAGTCACGAAAGTCCTCTTGTACTTCTTAAGGACCGCAAGACTTCACGAGCGCTTGTGAAAGAACAGCGTGAGACCGCGCTGTGTAGTTTCAAGCTGACTATTCATCCTTCTCTTTCTTGCTCCTCTTCTTTTCCATCTCTTTCCTTTCTATTGTTCTCCTTCTGCCCCACCCCTAGTGTAGGGTAGCCAACCGAGTGAAGCTTGGTTAACCTCCCTGCCTTTCCTCTCTATTTATCTCTCTTTCCCCATTGACTAATACGCTATGTTTGATTTCGAAGAAGACAACTACTTCCAAAACTTTCCATGATGTGTCTAGAAATAGTGGTAAACGATTTAGGGTACTTGGTACTCAAATATAGGAGAACATAATGCCATCCCGCCTTCCGCGAAAACCAACTGGATCATGTAATCAGCCAGCGTGGTTGAAAAGAAATGAGTTCGCTCATCTTTCAACACTTTTCGTATTTGCGTGCTAAATCCTGAAATCATTCCAGCTATCCGAGGAATCTTTTTGCGTGCACGTCAAAATCGACGCATTATATGAGAAAAAATATGGGTTACCCATGGGTTTCGCCGCTCAACTCATTTTACTTTTTTCGAATCGAAGCGCGATAAGGAGTCGGATACACGAGTTTTAAAGTACTGTCACATTATGTTGACGTCTTTGTCACATGTATGAATGCCGAAACCTAGTTCCAGGGCATCTAAACCTTACGTGTCATTGGCGCGTTGAAACTTGTACACGGAGGCAGTCCGAACTTCGTTTATCGTTTCATTCATCACACTGAGAACTCCTACTACTGATTTCTCGCCTGATATCCAAGTTCAACAGTGACATCATCACTAAACGTTTTATTTAAAAAGAATATTACGTCTAGATTTGACTGACAACGGTCCTGTATACGTGTTGAATTATTGACTACTTGGACAAGGCTATAATTATCCATTAATTTTAGCATTAGTTCCACGTTTGAGCGATTTGAAGAACCTCGAATCCTATTACCCGGAAAATAAAATCGCCCATAAATAATATTTTGCTGCTTGAATACGAGTTTGCATTTAAATAGGCGTCAATTTAATCAAAAACGTCTAATGAGCTTCCTGGTGCTCTGTGTACAACACCTATAAATATTGTAGCCTCGCCAAGGAATAACCTACACTAAATGCTTTCATATTCACCGATGTCCGGCAGCAATTCATACTTCAGTGTGTGTGGGCTTGTGTATTATCAGCAGAGCAACAAAACTGACTCTGCTTGTCCTGTCCTTGCGAATAACGTTGTAGTGTGTGGGGAATACTTCCTCGTTGCTATAGTCAGCTTGCGGCCAAGTTTCGGTTATTCCTAATAAATGAGGGCCGTGTAGGAAGGGTAAGTATTCTAGCTGTTCCTGCTTATGAACAATGCTTCTGGTGTTAACATTTGTGAGTTTTATTTCCCGGAGTCTTTTATATTATGCACTGTCGCAAGACAACGAAGACTTGGATAATGAATCTTTGGGTAATTGAACACGTGGGTGGGCGTGCAGACCTGTTGTGTAGGCCATTCCATTGATAAATAGAATGTCGTTAATAACCTTAACTTTCGCGCTAGCTTGTTTATCTGATTGAGCGGAGCACCACAGTTCTTTTCTTTTACCTTGTGTTTCGGATGAATGTCGTGTGAAATACTTATGCCGGTTACTTTCAGTTTCGTGCAGTTCTGAAAAAAAAAACTTCTTTTTCCTTGGGGTTATAAAGCTTCAGAATACCGGTCTATCTTGATCTTTCCTCTTTTTTCCAAGTCTGTGAATTTCTTCTACTAACGTTACGCAAACATCGAGGAGATTTTAAAAAATGCCCTTCACTACTGAGTCTTCAATTGTTTCTTTTGTTTCATTGAGACTTCCGGCACTGTGTAAACGATAACGTTGTTTGTCCTAGTTCTGCCCTCTAATTTTCTTATATTGCTGTTTCTTGTCTTTTTCATGTTGTGCACTGTGGTTTCAATGTCTTCGAAATGAATTACCGTGGTCTAACCATTGTGGTGTCAGAATGACATGAATGAGCGGCTACGGGTGTCTTTTTTATACACAAAAACAGTACACACAGTCGCGGAGAAGAAAAGGTCATCTGAGATTATTGCAAACACTCATACCAAGCGCAACGCACCTGGAACCTAACCCTCATCGGGAATAAACGCCTCTACTGTGTTTCATTGTTCACAGGCGTCTTATTCTCCAAGACAATGTTTTGATGCTTGTCGCATACTTTGTTTTTGTAAACCAATGCTGAACTCTATTCTGCATGCCTGCCTGCAACGAAAGACATGTTGTGTGGCTTCAGGTGTTATTAAAGTTTGCATAGTTGTGGTTCCGCAATGTTGAAAGTTGGCCGAGTTTGTGATGCTTCATGTTTACGCTTGAATCAGCGCATGCAGGAAAGGCACAAAAGAAACAAAAGAACAGCACCCGCAATGGCTGCACCCACGAATAGTTAGTTGTCTTGAAAAAATGAAATAAGAAAGCACCGTTGGTTTTCATACATGGCAGCGTACCATATGTGATAACGGTTTTTATTGTTTGACAGTTTACGAATGTCCAACACGAAAGACAATTACCAATCTGTCAGAGGGTGCGATTGTTGGCTTACACATTAAATTTTTCGTTCATTGACGTTGAGCCACGTTACATCCGCTGTTCTATAACCACCTATAAAATGAGTGATGAAAAGAATCATCAAGGGCCATTGCTCGTTGATCGCACAATGTGTCGGCAATGCTGAAGGTACAGGATGTCACTTTGAGATGCCCTTTAGTGTACTTCATAATAACGTTCCTATACACACTGAATATGCAGCGTAGTTACAGAAGTGGAAACGTGTATAAACCTGTCTGTCTACAGAACACCTATATCCACTATGTGGAGTGGTTATTGTTGGTTTAAAGACGGTAGTTTGATGTGCAGATAAGCGCAACGGCAAATACGCGGTAGCCACCTAAATTAGGCGCGCCTCACCGTAAAAGTACAAAGAGCTAGACATTCAATGGCACGCGTTCTTGCCGCAGCCGCCGCGCAGTGTTTTCCTTTGTTTCTGTTTCTTATTTTCGTGGTTTGCCTACATTCGCGATGATTACCAGTTTTATAACATAATCGAGTGAGCATACGTGACTGTGGGAGATATGCTTGGTAATTGCACCATATGAAAAGTCTGATCTCAACGTAGATGACGCATGAGCAAAATGGTGCCATTTGAGCACTTGTACTCACCTCTGTTTGTCTGAGGGCTTTAAGAGGGGGAAAGGGGGGTTACATTTGTAAAAGAGGCTTTTAGTAACCGCTCACGGCGTTGCCGTGACTGCCGTAAAATGCGCTTAGGTGCCGCAATGTGTAGGCAGAATGCTGGGTTCATTCTGAAAGAAAATGACGAAGTTAAATCTCAGAAAAAGTATTTTATTCCTGCATTGCTTGTGCTAATGCGACATGAAGTTCCCGTACACTTTTAAGTGAGAATTTATCCTTGTAGCAAAATTATTTGAAACCAAACACTCTGTTCTGGTGCCTGTGCCGTTATTTCGTGTTGAACTAAAGGCGGCTGAAATAAATTAAGCAGTCTGTGTGTATGCGTTGGTCATTCGCAGAATTACGGATAGCTTCTCCCGATTCTTCACTCTAGCTGACCGCCACACTCGGTGAAACGAAGGTGTCGCTGTGTTCTGCCACCTCACCAGTAGTGAAGGGAAAATCAACGGTGACGTCCACCCTGTCGAAGGGGCAGTCAACCCGATAATATTTCAGTCTGGACAAGGTGAGCTATGAAAACAATGCGTGGCACCCACTCAAAGGAGCATAAAACAATTGCACTTGTTTAAAAGAGGTCCACATCACATATTGTTCTGCAGTTTTGTCACCAAGTGGCATCTTAATAAAAGTTTATCTTTACGTTCTGTTCTGTATGATAACGGCAGAAAATATCTTTCAGCATCATGCCTGTTTGCATTTAATGTTTTGCTGTGAGGCTTCATTATATAGTTGTAATTCAGTTAATGTGTAGGTTCTGTGAACGCTAGTTAAAAGCATTGTTTCTCTGCAATTTACACTACTCAGCTAAAGATGTGTGTCGTTTTTACAATTTTGAATAAAGTAATACCAAAATAAGCTTTTTTTCTGTTGTTTTTTATGATAGTGCCACGTCTTCGTTTTCAAATGCCTTTCTTCATGGCTGATCACCCTTAACAGAAGCGGCAACATAGCAAGTCACATATCTGACGCATTCGCCCTTAACGAACTTCCTATTTATTCATAATAATAAGGAATGACTATAAAAACATCAGGCTGATATTTGCAGTTTATTTTGCGTCACATGGTACTACACACAGTGAAGTGACCCATTTTTGTTAGCTATACTCTTACAAGTATATTGAATAAAAAATACTTCAGCTGCGTCATTAGAAATCACAAACCAAATTTTCGCGCAATCTGCATTACTCAGCTGGAAAAGTCTGTTGTTTTTACGAGTCTTGTTATATTTGTGCTAAAATATTTGCTTTTTTTTTCTTTTGTTGCTGTGGCTGGGCGCAACGGCAAGCATCATTGGAGTTGCTTAACACGAATACATCCCTATTCCTAACCTGCCAGCGTTTCGCAGGCATTTTGTAGAATCTCGTGCAGACAAATGGATATTTACAACGCAAGAACTGTTCGAATATCTACTTCTGTCTAAATTAAAACAATGACTCGTGAGTCGCAAATTTTTGTTTTTAGCTTGGCATTATTCGTTTTGAAATCTTAGCTGTTTGTAACTCGACGCTTTTGTCCAAGAAAGCACGCGGCGCCAATACACTGCAGACGTGGTCGAAACAGGACGCATTGAAGATTATGTCGGCCAGTAAGTAACGCAGCATCAATTTTTTCTTTGTGGGTGACAATTTTGGTAGTTATGTGAACAACGTAAATTATGAAGCGTAACGGAAATTGTTCCTGGGCTAGTTGGTTCATGGCTTAAAAGACTTCGAAGCACAAATTTGACACCTGACAATGTGCTTCAGTCTTCTTTGTTCTGTTTTTCTGCACCGAATTTCAATTCAATTCAGTTTATTCAACATCTGAGAGATGTTTGGTGCACGGACAAAAAGCCTGAGAAAGCTTGACTATGACGCTATTTATTACTTAAGATTATAACACGTAATAAAATGAGTTCCTGGGCTAGTTGTTTCATAGCTTAAAACGTAGAGTGCGGATTCGACACCTGACAACGGCTTTCAGTGTTCATTTTTCTGTTCTGCGCAGCATTATGCTATTCAGTACCTAAGATTATAGCGAGTTTGCGAAACTGCAGTGTGCTAAAAGCCCGGTTTACGAGGTAGCTTGTTGAGGGTGCCCTGCCATTTTATGTAAGAATATGTTTTACTCATGATCATCGCATCTGCAAAACAATGTGTTTGGGTGCATGGCTTCCTTTCTTTGCAGAAACAGCGTGATCAGCGAGAGTACTTAGCTGTGTTAATTCTTCATCTGGTTCACTTGAGGTTGCAACTGCCACGAAACATGATCATACATATTCCTGCACAAAGTGATACAGAACAAACCAACGGTCAAATTAATAAGGCATCAGCGGCTCGCACAAGGAAATTAGAAGAGCCATAAATACATTCTTGAACTAAACAAACACCTCCTACCAAAACACATACAACGTACGTCCATTTACCCCATCAACTGTCACTTCACTGCCGAGGACACAGATATTAGAGCGAAATTATTAGTGCCAGGGGCCCTCGCCGCAGTGATAACTTTTGTAATGGTGTATCCACAGTTTTATAAGCGTTACTGTTTTTATGCTTGCTCCAACAACGTAGTAAGGTACTCGGCTGCTGACCCGCAGGTCGTGGGATGGAATTCCTGCTGCGGTGGCTGCATTTTCGATGGAGGCGAAAATGCTGTAGGCCGGCGTGCTAAGATTTGAGTTCACGTTAAAAAACCCCAGGTGATCGAAATTTCCGGAGTCCTCCACTACGACGTCTCTCCTAATCATATGGTGGTTTCGCGACGTTAAGTCCACATATCAATCAATAAACGTAGTCGACACGTACTCAGTGACAATTCGCAGTTTTATAACTTTCTGGGCATGCACAGTACACGCTGCTTCACTTTACCTCTCTCTCCTTCTCCATTCTTTTTCTTCCTTTTATATGTTCCCCCATGTATGGATTTGATTGATTTATATGTGGGGTTGAGCACCCCACATATAATTACGAGAAGGCATTTGATTCAGTAGAAATATCAGCCGTCATGCAAACACTGCGGAATCAGGGCGTAGATGAAGTATATATAAACATTCTGGAAGAAATCTACAGGGGATCAACTGCTACCATAGTGCTTCATAAAGAAAGCAACAGAATACCAATCAAGAAGGGTGTAAGGCAGGGGGACACAATTTCCCCAATGCTATTTACCGCGTGCTTACACGAGGTTTTCAGAAGCCTAGAATGGGAGCAGTTAGGGATAAGAGTCAATGGAGAATACCTTAGTAACCTGCGCTTCGCCGATGACATTGCATTGCTGAGTAACTCGGGGGACGAATTGACAACTCATGATTACGGAGTTAGACAAGGAGAGCAGAAAGGTGGGTCTTAAAATTAATCTGCAGAAAACGAAAGTAATGTACAACAACCTCGGCAAGGAGCAGCGCTTCGAGATAGGTAATAGTGCACTTGAAGTTGTAAAAGACTATGTCTACTTAGGGCAGGTAATAACCGCAGAGCCGAACCACGAGATTGAAGTAACTAGAAGAATAAGAATGGGGTGGAGCACATTCGGCAAGCACTCTCAAATTATGACAGGTAGATTGCCACTATCCCTCAAGAGGAAGGTATATAACAGCTGTATCTTGCCGGTACTTAGCTACGGAGCAGAAACCTGGAGACTTACAAAGAGGGTTCAGCTTAAATTGAGGACGACGCAGCGAGCAATGGAAAGAAAAATGGTAGGTGTAACCTTAAGAGACAAGAAGAGAGCAGAGTGGATTAGGGAACAAACGGGGGTTAAGGATATCATAGCTGAAATCAAGATGAAGAAATGGACATGGGCAGGGCATGTAGCGCGTAGACAGGATAACCGCTGGTCACTAAGGGTAACTGACTGGATTCCCAGAGAAGGGAAGCGGGCTAGAGGGAGACAGAAGGTTAGGTGGGCAGATGAGATTAAGAAGTTTGCGGGTATAAATTGGCAGCAGCAAGCACAGGACCGGGTTAACTGGCGGAACATGGGAGAGGCCTTTGTCCTGCAGTGGGCGTAGTCAGGCTGATGATGATGATGATGATGATGTAAAGTATGTCGCAAATCGTATAATTGGGGCTTTAACTTGTACGTATCCAAAGTTCAACATTTGTTGTGAGCTATCAAAAGGAAGTGCGCACTTATTTATAATAGCGAAAATGCAATATCATACAATAACAACGCTTTGTACGTAGTTATCTAAGTCATTCACAACAAATAAGACTTGCCTCGCTTGTAACAGCAGTTTCGGACATCACTCGATGTTTTGCCGAGCTATAAAAGTAACAAACTTATGAAGTTTTTATAGTATTAATGTACTTTTCATGGAAATATCTTCCTATATCGACTCCATCTAACAGCATCATATAATTTGCTTGTATGAGCAGACAACTGACCGAACTTGTGGCCTTTTTTTCACAGAGCTGGTATGAGGTAATCTGAATTAGTTTCCTGATCAGTTTATTAGGTTGAGAAAGAGTGTCGCTCTATTCGGCTATATTTCACCCACCTTACGAGCATTGCACGTGTGTACCAATGAGAGTTTGGTTTTGTTTTAGTGGTCTCAATTATTTTTATTTTGACAGCAAATATAGAAACATTTACTCAGCTATTTACCTATTCTGTCACTCTGTTTATTGTTTATAGGTACGCAAGGCGTATACATTCTCATATTTTTTATGGTGACACCGGATGCCGCTCCTTTCACTGCACGTGAGTAGTTCTTTTTTACGCTTTCCTTACGTCGCATATATCTAAATATTTGTGCAATAACGTTAATCTCTGTGCACGACAAATGAGAACAACTCCACCTCACGCAACTCAGCATCATACGAAAGAAGTCATGCGATGACCTTCAGAAGCAACAGATTCCACATGATCAGTTGCCTAGTTCTTCTATGGGCTCAGCCTCGAGGTTCCTTAATCTACATTTGTATAATGATGGTAGCGCAAAAAAGACACAAGAAGGTAAAAAAGACAAACGCAACTTGTTTTCTTGAGTGCTCGTTTTCTTTGTATTACCATTGTTATATAAGTGTGTCGTACCAACTCTAGCCCTGCAACTTCAATTTCCCTCAATGTCCACAGATTTTCTACCTGGCTATAGCGTCTGTCATGATAGAGGCACGATAGAGGCGTGCAAAAAGTAAATAAGTGCTCGCCGTGCTGGGTCGATGAAGAGAAAAGCGAAGTGTGGGCGCGGGCCACGCGTGCCACGGGGCGCGTGCCGGTGGTCGAGACAGCGCCGCGGTCAAGCACATACGCTTCTCGGCTGGACGCCTGGTCCGGGGAACTAAGAGACGTCCTCCACGTGCTACCATTCCTGTACTCCGGCTGGGAACTAGACCAGGGAACAGGTAAGCTGCAGAAGTCCGGCTGGCGTTCCTGCCTGCTGCAAGGCAACCCCGACGGGCGAGGCCTGCATTCTATTCGGCCAGTTGGCCCAGGGATCTGGCGAGGTGCCCTAGTCCTGGTTGTCGTTCACAGCGATCGAGCGTGTTTAGTGGGTGGTGGACCACTGCTGCTGAGGTCGTTCAGAGTTACTGAGATGACTCGGGCGTGGCCGTGATGAATGGTGAGGCCGAGCTACCGAGCTGCTGCAGCAGAGATCTGTGCCTTGGCGAGGGCTGGTACGTGTTAGCCACGTCAACCAGTCAGACGGAACATCATCTTCGAGTGTCGGGCATCGACGTTCTTCAACGGCTTCAAACACAGCGAGACCCTTCTGAATACGAAAGACAATTAGCGCAGTTGAGACTGCATATATCAGAGTACTCTCACTTTAATCATTATCAGATCATCTCTCTTTGTCATATAAGTTTTTGTGTGTGCGCGCACTCGTGGCTCGACTCAGTTCCTTGGTGAGTGGTCCTGGGCCCAAACCCTTGTGTTACATCACGTTACCCCCCTGGTGTTTCCCCCGTTTAAGAAAGTTGTTCACAACGTTTATGACTTGACGAAGAGGCGGGAAAAACGTCGCAAAGTTTTGATCACTCACTGAATTTCAGTCTCATGTCTACAAAACATTTGAAGTGCACACAACCTGTTGCAATACGTCCTCGTTATACGCAGCTCAGATAATCAACTCCGACATTATCTGAACCTTTGACGTATGATACCAAAATGAGTATTCTTGCAAGAGTAGGCTCCGGTGTAAAACACTATTGTTGAGGTGTTTACAGGATTGCAGATACTGCAAAGGTTGATTGTCGGATTGTATAGCAAACTGCTTGCCATGCAAGTACAAGTGCAACATTTATACTGCCCAGACAAGTCCTAGACTTTCCCGTTTGATCGTGGAATAGCCGGTTTCTTGGGGCAACAAGTATCGGCTAGCGTACGCAACAGGATGCAAGACCTGGTCTTCCCCTAGCTGGAACAGAACGGCACCATGACTAGTAGAGGCGTCGGTTTGGAGGACAAAGTCTTTTGTCATGTTGGGCGCTTGTAAAATCGGAGTGTTTCCAAGTTTGCTCTTCAAAATAGCGAAAGCTTCTTGAAACGTTCCCCACGTGATGACATTGTTCTGTCCTTTCCATGTGAGGTTGGTCAGAGGCTTGGTCATCTCAGCGTAGTTTTGCAATGAATTTTTCGTAGTAGCCTGTTAGACCCAGGAAAGAGTGTAGGTCTTTCTTTGTCTTTCGTCTTGTTGTTTCTAGGATCTTGTCAAGCATTTCCAGAAGAGGTTTAACTTTGCCGTTTCCTATTCGATGACCAAGGAAAGAGATGGTCTGCTTTCTTATTTCATGCTTACTAGGCTTGATGTTAAAATTGTCGCGTCTTATTCGGTCAAATACACGCCGCAAGGTGACAAAATGTTCATGCCCATGTGTTTGTGGCAATGACTACATCTTCAAAGTAATGTTAAACGATTTCCAAATCCCCAAGCACAGCTCTCATGAGGCGTGCGAAAACAGCCGGAGCTGTTATGCCAAAGGCCATATATACAATGTGGTATAGCCCAGAGGTACTGAAAAATGCTGTTTTTTTTCCCTGCTGTCCATTACCATGGGCACTTTCCAATAGCCTTTGGTGAAGTCCAACTTTGAAAAAAAAATTACATTGACCAGCAAGGGCAAGAACAACGTCTATGCACGGTATTGGCTCACCGTCCGCAAAGAATATTTTATTGAGCTATCTGAAATCAATGCATAAAGGAATCGTGTTGTCAAGTTGGTTTCTTTTAACTTCTACGATGTGAGCATGGTATGGTGAATTGACCTTTCAATTATGCCCAACTTCAGCATTTCTTAAACTCCTGCCTCTTCATTTTTCCGTAGAAGTAGAGGAATGGGATATTGCGGCACGTGTATAAGCTTATCTGATATCAACCGTAGCGTGTAATCTGCCAGGTCAGTCTTTCTTGGAAGATCGGAGAATATGATCTCAAATTCCTGGAATAAATCAAACACGCCAGAATGCTGGTTAACACTCCGATTGCCCGATCATCGAACATCAGCCGCAGTCTGATTGCGGAGTGAGCTATGTGAAAGAATCTCACGTGAGTTTTTTGGCTTGAGATTTCCTCGTTCACTTCTAGGGGTTATTGGTTGACTTCAGTTACAACCGATACACTCTGCACTTGTAAAGGTTCGCGTTCCTCGTATTTCTTAAGCATATTGATGTAGAAACTTTTCCTCTTTCCACTTACCGTGAGAACGTAGTCAACTTCATTCTTTCGATCGATGACTTCAAAAGGATCTTTCCATTGCATGAGCAGCTTGCTGGAATTTGTCAGCAGAAAAAGTAGTACCTATCTCCAACGTTCAGTTTTCGAGGACGGCTCTTGCGATCATAGTAAGCCCCTTGTTTTGCGCATGCACTCTCTAACTGATCATGTGCCAGTTTGCATGTCCCTTGAAGGTGGTTTTGAAGGTCGACCAAGTTGGTGTTTGTATTATGAATTTTGCCGTCAATGTCCGCATTGCTCCACAGCTGCTTCAATACCGTCAAAGGTCCTCCCACATAACGACCATAAACGAGCTGAAAAGGCGAGAAGCCCAAGCTCGCTTGTGGCACCTCTCTGTAAGCGAAAAGGAGTGGGGCCAGATATCTGTCCCAGGATTGTGGTTTTTCCTGGCACATCCTGTTCAACATTGTTTGGAGCGTTCCATTAAACTTTTCGACGAGCCCATTCGCCATGGCGTCGTAGGGGGTCGTTCGAAGAAACTTGGTCGCTAGAAGACGGCCCACTTTTCTCATAAGTTCTGCTGTAAAACTTGTCCCTTGGTCGATTACGATTTCCTTCGGTAATTCGATTCGAGAGGTAATCTCAATTAATCATTCTGCAACATGCACAGCGTCAATTGCGGGTAGTGAAGGGATCCGCAAATCGGGTCGCAAAGTCGGTAAGCGTTAGAATTTAGCGGTTGCCACGGTCTGATTTCGATGAGAAGGAACCGATTAAATCGACCGCAACACACTCAGGAGGCGTTCGTATAACAGGCATGTTTCCCAGAGGTGCAACACCAATTTTGTCTTTTGGTATGGTTTGTTGACAATTGTCGCATGACTCGACGAAAGTTTTCACATTGCGATAGAGATTCGGCCAGAAAAATCAGCTAAAATTTGATCTGTTGTGCGCCGAATGCCTTGGTGCCTTGCTATAAGGCTTTCATGGCCTACTTCAAGGATATGCGTCTAAAGTTCTTCGGTACAACTACATCGCTAAAGTTTCTGCTACTCCCAAGACAGTATTGTCAGTAGAGCAGTCCATCTCTCTCTAGAAACCCATTACTGTGGCCTTCTGGTGACTTGAAGTCTTTATCAACTTTAGCGAACTTAGCCTTCAATGTTTTGTCCTTTTGCTGTTTCATCACCATTTTATCTTCGGAACAGTCAATGGATTCATTTTGCCTTCATGTGGTTTCACCGGAGCAGAAACGTATCGTGGATGTTTTATAACTTCCACAGGGCAATATCGCATTGCCTTAGTTCTCAGGTCCGCTGCAACAAGCTTCTTCTCATGAACTGGATTGTGAGGTTATCCGACACCTGACAGGTTACCAAGCACCGAAACGTATAGAGCCTTGTTCATACAGAGTGCTGTTATTTCTCCTCTAACGTATAGTGTGCTTAAATGAAGCTTGGCCTCTGGTACTTCGATAGCCGAACCATCAATGAGCAAAATTTTGCTACTCCTCCCGGTCAACTATTCGTTCGGCACCAGATATGTCCAGATAATCACAGTGTTACTTCTTGGATCTCGAAGCACTTTGACTAGCTTGCCCAGAACATCGCCTTCAACTACTGGCATTCCTTGCACAAGAAAGGAGGATTTAATTTCTTCCGAACTTTTATTACGACGGTAATGTTTGTTTCCTTTTTTTTCTTTCCTCCAGTATGTCCACTTGAAGAAAACTGGGACGGTTTTTGTTCACTGCACACGCAGAGCTTTTTTGTGATTTCATGCTCTCGCACTCGTCGCTTTTGTGGCCTATTTTCCCACAAACCTTATATTTCATCGTCTCCTTAGCTGAAGTTCAACATTCAAGTGCTTGATGCCCCAGACGCTTGCAAAGCAAACACCTTGGCAGTTGTTTCTTTGGAGCATTGTCAATACTCTTGAAATCTCTTGAGTCGTCGTGACCTTTTTCGAGGTTTGAAAAATTATGTGCTTCCATGAAGCGATCAGTAGCATCGGCTAGCTGCTGAACTGACTTCCACTCACGTTCTTTTGAAGATATCATGAGCTTTGAATGACAGCAGTGGAG